GTCCTGGTTTATATGGGGTTTTAAAATATATGTCAACTAAAAAGTGCAAGTGTCATCAATCTCATTCTGCTATGATTGCAGCATTGTTTTGGGTCATACGACATGTTTAGTCTATGTACGGTCCAGAAAAAATATTAATACATTACAAAAATGATTAATGAATGAAAACTTGTTACAGTCACAGATTAAACTAATTGTATGTCCCTAATACTATCAATACGGAATAACAATGGTATGGCAAGGGAAAAATAATATTGGCAATAACTGATGCATTTTAGGAAACATAGTCCCTCTATTTTCAATTAATCGATTCAAATTTAAATGTGTAAAAACTCTTTGTATCCATTGTGCGAATAATAAACTTACTACTGTGGCAGATGTGCGGTCATTAAACATGCTGTGAATTTTTCAGCCATTTGTCTTTGTGTAAGCTCCAAGTAAAAGTGTAAAATGAAATGTGTGCAGGATCAAACACTCTAGTGCAGCGTTGAGTGGCAAAGCATGTAAGGACCTAGTGAGAACATGTGTCTCCACATGGACTTATCTAAACACGACTGATGTAGGTTAACACATGGAAAAACAACCAGTATTTGGTGTAGAATTCTGACACTTTGAACTAATTTCAACACTCACCACTATATAAAGCATCATATAGTTTAACTTTTTCAAAGCCAAATAGAGAAATAAACATCAACATTCATGGTTGCAGCTATCACTACAGTTCACCAGACTGGGGCCGACAACTCGCATTCTCAACATTTTTTGACTGGATTTGGGCAGTTGTGAGTTTTAAAATGACATGTCCATAACGATGCAGATTGAGTTGAAGTGTGCTGAAGGAGAAATGTTTACTTTCTCACTAGCTACATTAGTACCCGAAGTGTCACAATCACAAATGTTGGGATAGTCAAACAATTACTTGAAATCAACTGGATGACTTCAATGGCAGCTTTGATTTATTGAGACAGAGGGCTACATGAAATGCCACAATTGTCCCACAGCCAGGACTTTGGATGTACCTGCTATATAGTATTGGACTTAATATTATAGGATTTTCCCAGCTATTGATCTGAAACATCAAACATTTTATAAAGTGTGTGCCCAAGAGGGATTCCCAGTTTGTGAAAATTGTACCATTGAGAGAAAAAGAAAACAAGTTTATAATTTTCTAGCTTTACTATGAAGCCCAGAATCTATAAATGTTGAAATGTCTGTGTTGCAGCCCATCTTACAAACAAAATAAATGAGAATAATTTGCTCAAAACTCCACATTGTTCCATTCCTCTTTGGTGTAATCTTTGTATATTACCAATTATTTACCTCAGGTGGTACAGAAACAACAGAAAATACAGTACTTTCAAAATTGCATTCAGCAACAACAACAAAAACAGAAATAAGATAAAAGACTCATGTTCCCAGAGTATAAAAAGCAGGTTTCAGTAACCTACACTTGCTCCTTTACATTTCTCAAACAACTTGGCCTCTCGCTCCTGGTGCATTTGAGGATTGTGTTCTTGTAATTCGTACAAACTGGGGGCTCTTTGTAATGTCTCCGCAAACACAGAGCGGACAGAGTGTCTGCAGCTAAAGAGGAAACGACTCAGGACCTGGACGAGTCGTGGGAAAAGAGAGGGGTCTTGTGGAGGAAAAGCAGAAAATGTTTCAGGACATTCCTCAGTGATTACACAGCACAGACATTCTTTGACCAGCTATTCTCTCTATCTCATAAGAAGCCCACACAGTCTGCCGCACAGCTGATTTCATGGACAAAGAAGACATCAATAGTGTCAATAGTGTCATAACTTGAACAAATATTGTACGGTCGTGTTTGTTAGGCAGTTTGTTCATCTGATAAGTAGCAATAACAGCGGAAACTAAAAGGAAAAGTTGAAGTCACAGTCATATTCAAGGTCTTGTAGTCCATTTGTCAGGAGCAAAAGTCCAAAATAGGTTCTTATCATTGACCAATAGTCAAAATGAAAAACAGCTAAGTAACTCATTGAGATAAAACAGGTCACATATCTATTGTATACAAAACACGAGCGGTAGTAAGATACAAAACATAAGTAGTCTGTGAAGGAATCTGGACAACAGTAGGGTATTAGAAAAAAATGATAAAAACATTGTATGTGCAGGTAATTGATTAACAAACCAATGTTAGCTTAAAAAAATATAATTTACACAATTACAGTGGCATATTTTAGTTTGACTAGCATTGCAGCTCCAGTTACATCAGCAGTTCTCATCATGTACCATCGCATTGTGATGGCAAATATTTACCTCCTTCAACTACTTCCATATAGTTTTGTCAATGGAAAACATAAATGTGTGATGTAAAAAATGTATTGTTGTTTCTCACAATTGACTCCTTTTTCCTTTTCCTCATTCCTAAGTGCAACATCTATTTTAATTTGTGCTTGAGCCGTTTCCCGTGTGGATCAATTCAGTCCATATAAATAGACATATGCCAATGACTGACAGTGTAGCAAGCAACACTTCCCCCTTAAAGTCCAGATCAAAGGAACAGACAGCATTATCTTGTATCATACACAAATAAAAAAGGATCCAAGTAAAAGGTTGGCATTGTGTCTAGATCTCACGTTACATGCCCATGGGGTAGTGTTTTGGCCTTCCCCCCAGTGGAAAACAGTGTGGATTGGTCCTCCCTTGTCACAGCTAGCATGAATGAGAATCAGCCCAGAGGAATGCTCCATTAACTGTTGTATCAGTGGTGCGGGGGGAGGAGAGCTCTTCACGCTGAACAGAATCATGTGTCTTAAGCAGCACACGGGCGAAACCATTGGCTGTTGTGTTTATATGATGTCATAACATCTTAGAGGGCAGGCCAAAGATTCAATGTCATGTCAAAAAGCAGATGCTTCAAAGGTTTTGTTTTTTTTGTTGCATCAAACATATGTTATTGCAGAGCACATATTTGCCTATAGCTTAAACACGGTTATTAAACATCAAAGTAAACTATGAAATACAGAATGTTTTAACTATCACAGGCACACAGCTGCTCAGTCTACCCCAGGGCAGCTATGGCTACATTAGTATCCACCACCGTGAATAGAATGAACGACAAATGCGATGTTAAGAGTCTTTGAGTGCATAGAAAAAGGGTGTATAAGTCCAATGTATTACTGTGGCCAATTGTTATCAAATTAAGCTATACTGGAATACATGTCTATAAAATACATTACATACAATACATTATATTTAATCATCCAAATTAAATATAAATAATTCAAGAGAGGTAAACATATTTACAAGCAAAAACAAATTGTTGTTTAAAATATTTTGGCTCACTAGCTGCCTAAGACTATGCATCAGCACTATTGGAACATTTGAGGGCAAAGGTGGAAGTACCAGTAGGCTTCACTGCTCTTTTGTGTTGTCAAATACAGCTGCAGTTTGATCAAATTGAACCAAACACACATTGACTCAACATATTGTTTAAACATCCCCATGTGACAATTTTTATTGGCCCCCAAAATGTTTCTCAATTTATAATTATTAACGTGCCGGCCTTGTTGGTAACGCAGGCTATCATGGCATTTGATACATATTTGTTAAACAACCAGATAATTTACTTTATATTTTGGACCCAAACGCAATAAGAAATAGTTCAATAAATAACAAATAATTGGCAGTCAAAAATAATTTTGGCCCAGTTCAATCCAAACTGTCCTTGTTTTATTGGAAAATCGACCAGAGAAAGATTGTATAAACTCGTGGTAAATCAATGTAATCTTCTGGTCAAAATACCTCCGTGATGTAATAAGAATAACCACTGGTACAAATGAGCTATTAACAGGGAAACAATGTATACCTTGGGATAAAAGTATGGCCTAAAAATGTAGGCATACGACCAATATGAGCTTGACGCCCCTGGCTAATCATATCTCTCAATCTCTAAATATATTTGATTCATGTACAGGTTAGCACCATAGGCAGCAATGTATGATAAGGATTATGCACACGCTGATATTATTTTGGCCTTGAGACAAACATTTTATGCCTCAACAAATCCGCAAATGCTGAGCCCGGTCATAGTCTATTCAAAATGTTTCAACATCACTGAAAGCAAGCTATTGGGCCTCGGACATTGAGTTAAAGCCATAAAACCTCCTCCCTATACACCTCCTCATTTGTCTCTAGGTCATGCGTCCCTTTTTGTCAGCAATTAATCTGAAGCATAGCCCCCCTACATTTATCCCTTTTCTCTGCCTGCTTGTCCTTCACCTCTTATTCCGTTAACCCTGGCTAAATCTACTCGCGTTTGATCACTGTTCTGTTGTCTACATGCGACTAATAATGGATCGGCAAGGCTTTTAGTGCAACACCTTACCAAGCGTGATGAGCTCTGAGCGACCTTCACATTACTATGCATCAGTTGTGCTTCAAAGAGCTTCCCTTGTGTTCTTCGGACTGACCCCAAACGCTTTACGCCGACTTAACGCGTGTTATTGATGCTAAAATTGTAATCACCCTTAAGAATCAAGTGTAAATATTGAAAATAAATGGAACAATTCAAGTATATAGATTTATCTGATTCATGTTTTCCACTAATTTAGATGCAAAGTAATATATGCTAATTAAGTGAATACTGTTAATCCTGGCTTTACTGCGATGGCGGGCTTTACAATGCCTTTCAAAACAATTATTCAAATCAATCTAATTAAACCTGTTGAAATGGGCTGTAATTGCTTCCCTGACTAAACAAACACAAGTTCTGGCATGCAAATAATAGTGCTGCTCAATAGGAGCTTCTAAGAAATGTGAATGGGGTGAAAGTGTGTAGCGTGGCGCCCTCTAGTGGTTAAACGTGGTAGCAATGCAATGACGTAAGCCTTGGAAAGTAATTGTGTGTGTGAGTGCAGATATGAAGCCAGATAATGACTGAATTGCCAAGTGGATGGTTACGCGCGGCTTGGACAAAGAGGACATTGAAAGTGTATATCGAATGGGTTAAGTTGCACTTCTAGCAACATGTGGTCATGTCTGTGCACCAAAAGAAACATGAGGTAGTGTAATGTGTGAGTGTGGTGCATCTGCCAAGGATTTGTAATCACGATTCAGATCTGGCTGTTTCTGTCTCCATCTGTCAGATGTCTGTACCATTTAATTGTCAATATTTAACAAATGCCTCTGCGCTCAAAGATCAAGGGTTTCACATGATTTGGCATCTCCACCAATACATATTTCTTTTTTGTATGCACTTACCAGTACTCAAATTAAAATAATTTAAATAAAAGCATATTTAGGTTGATACATTAAATTCGTTGTTCAAAGCCGCTTAATAATTGCTTGCATTAAATTGGTTCCGTACTTGTGTGCCATTACTGCAGCCCCTGACTGAGGCTGTCAACATTACCAATTGCACTGAATAAGGAGGAAGAGACAATAGTTTTCACTTGAGTCACTTCTTCCCCACTGCGGCACCTGATGCTGAGTGGTCTCTAATCCAAGAACAAGGACTAACCCTGCTTCTAAAAAAATACCTATGCTTCTTAGCTAGCTGTAAATGACAATTAGATGTAAATGTAGAATTAGACATTAAATGGAAGAGGCACATATTACTAAATTTAAAGATTGTGTCAATTTGTGTATTAACACTAATTTGATTCATGATAAAATAATCAAAAACTAGGAAGCAATTCAATAAGGTACAAAGTTGTATGGTATTGTATTGCATTACTGTATGTACAGTACAGTATTAAAGTATTTTTGCTGAATTGTATTGTATTGAATTATTTGTGTGGAATGGGTAAAGGGAATTAAGATAATATCAGTGTCTGCTTCATCCAAACCACATGCACTTGTGTCTGTCATGTTGAATTATGTGAAATAAATCATGTAACAAACTATTCCCTAATTTTGTTATTTTTTAAACAACATCACAGGACGAGTCTAGGAAATAATATGGAGTAATGAATGTAAGGATATTGTTCAACACCTGTTTTTAACATGTAAGATATTCCCTTTATATATGACCCTGTGTTTACCTGTACAGTGACTCCTCAGTGGAAGCAGTCATGAGTATCTTCCGCTTGTATTTTTGATCTGGTTCAGGTCTAACAAATAAATTATGTAAGATAACAAATAAAAAGCTGATCCACATGCAATGAGACACTCTAACTTGGTTAAACTTCAACATAATGAATTACCTTCCTTGAAACATGTCTTTCAGTTCAACTATCTCCTTCATCTGGCAAACAGTACACCTGAGGAGAAAGCAAATGCAAATGTTTTTTTTGTTTTTTTTGCTGGAGGCTATAACTTTTTCATTATTTATTTTTGTTGAGTACGTTTAAAAAGATGGTAGCGTTCAACTGCTAAAGACAGCAAACATTCAAAAGTTGTTTTCAGAACATATTCTTTGGTTTTGTTTTTTTCTACAATGAATATAGACAAAAAGACCTGTCATATTGGATAATATGTATTCTCTGATCTGTTTTTGGTGAGTCGACAACCTTATAAAGTCCTCTAAGATGACTACTGTTGTGATTTATGGCTGTGCAAAAAATAATTGAATGGGTTTGAATAAATATTCTGTTATAAAACATAATTTTAAATTTGTTTGGTCAATTTATTTTAAAATACCATCTTTGAATGAATAACAGGCAAGAAAATAGATTATATTTGTCCAACTTAATCTTTGCAATCTGCGATACAGCAACCATCTAATAAATTATTTATATAAAAAAGGGGGCGAAAATGCAACAAAAATATTTTACCAATATTATGTTTATTTATTCAGTGAATCATTCAAGTGTAATCTATATGTGAAACCGATCCATCAAAATGGGTTGAGATAGTAATAAGGCTTGAAAACTGTCATCTATACGAATCATATAGCTAATAGTTAATTACTATGTTGTCCTAGCATAGCATCTGTAACATAAAACATTTATAACATAAAAAGAAGCGTTAGCCAGAGTGTGCTGCGCTCTGATCATGGCATATACAATTATTTATAAGATCAATGGCGTGGATTTCACCCTGTCAGGCTCACCTTTAAGGAGTTGGCTAAAAATAAAAGAAGCAGAGAGAGCACGTGTCGCACCCACAGCACCCACCTGCACCCAATCTCTAAACCACGCCCCTTGTCTTTGTACATCACGTGACCTGCCACAATCAACAGCAGTGCTCTCAACTAGAAGAAGCCTGCTCGGTTGAAAAAACAGCAAGATTTAATAAGAAGGTGAGAAATACGGCGGTATTTTTCCGTGCACGCATCATTCGTTTAATTATATCCATATCGAGGGATGATCGACTCAGAATACGTGTTTGTCCATGTCTTTAAACCCGTCTGGTTCTTGCGTCTGCTACTGTGTGGACAAGCTAACCTTGACAACATCTCTACGAAAAACGAGTGAATTTCGACGAATCCCGGGTTGATTTGACTCTAGCACAAAGCAGTGATAGATGGCACTGCTCCTATTTCAATTGCATTTAGGTTGCCTGCTTAAGCGAGGGTCTATGGAGTTGTAATGGCAAGTGATAAACTAGCTTCTATTCTTTTGTGGTTGGTGAAATGTTGCCAATCAGCAACATTTGTGTTTGAGGAAGTTGCGTATCAAAGTGCAATACTTTAAGGCAGTAAAATGGGCAAAGGCATGTACTTTCTGTCTGTGGTGAGGATATTATTGACTGACACCGTGCCGTTTTCGTGATAAACCAGTTGTTTGTTGACCACGACACCTCTCAGTAACATGAGAAGTAGTAAAGATAGCTCGAGTGGAAAATGCAGCACCCACCATCTTCGCTTACATTTTTAAATCAGGCTAATTGCACTATCTAGGACATACGTATTTAACAACGTTAAATTACTGACATCTAACTTATGCCATAATTGCAGCTGTGTACTGTGGGCTTCATAACAAAATCGTATTTGAGTCGTTCTGTCTGTGGGATGTTCTTACATTTGGGCAATGTTCACTCAACGCTGCTGATTCTTAAACTATTTGTTTTTATCTAGATTAAATTGGGCTATGTACAGGGCAAAGAGTTCAAAGGGTAACACAAACCACCTCTCTCCATTTGCAGATCCATAACCTTTTCTGCTTACACAACCAGGAGCATCTAAAGTGACAGTGAACTTTGCAACATGGACTCCTTTAAAGCACTGCTTATAATTGATAGTTTATTTAGGATGCTGTTATTTAAAATAGCTGTGTGAATTTCTCACAAACCCTGCTAATCTCATTATTAGTTCACACTTGATGCGACAACATGACATCACACATTAACAAGTTTCAAACATGCAGTCACTTCTATGTTTGATGCTACAATATTGTTGCAATTCAACTTTTTAAATTCTGATTATCTAGTTTCTAAGAATTTTAGTTTATAATTATCAGTATCTTTCCTTATTTAGAAAACATTTAATAACTATGGCACTATTAGCAACCCTTGTTATAGATTTACACGTGAGAGTATTATCAGCAAGTTATGTCTAAAGTCCATGCAGTCTGTAAACAAGTCACATGATCAACAAAGATTTTTTTATTTACAAGCTGGGTGTAGTTTGACTGAATAGTTTTTTGTAAACCCTGGATTTAAACTTCATCTATGTGACTCAAATTGTAGATTTAATATCCACTCCCTCACATTAAATGAATAGAACGTGTATATCCATAGTTGTAAGACTCAAGGCTCTCATGGGTGTGTCATTGGCTGCTTGTGCAGTATTTTCCCCACACCTCTCTATTCAAGCATATTTGAATGGTGAGCTGCTGCTAGTTTGAGTTTAAAAACAGTTTTATAACCTCAGTCCACAGCCTGGTGAGTGGAGAGCACTCTGTCTGGAGCATACTGCAAGAAGGTCACAAGTTTGATTCCTTTGCATTCCTGGGCCTTTCTGAGTGTGTCCTGTCTGGGTGCTCCGCCTTCCTCCACGATTTATAAGTTCCTGGAAAGTGATATCTCAAAAAAAAAAAAACTTGCAAAATCAAAAGGACAGAAATACTCTGAGTAGACTGATGCAGGAGAGAACGTGTTGTGACCTGTGGGAACTGTCAAAAGGAAAAGAAGGAAGCAAACTGTTCTGCATGCTTGTGCTGGTTAACCATTCATAATGTATTTTCCAGTAAGTTTCCAAACACCACGTTCTATTGATGAACTTTGACACCATGTCTTCCTTCCTTCTTTGGTAATACTAACTACACCATGATGCTCTCTGGATGAACTCCGCTTTCATAACATTTAGTCTATTCACTATGAACTTTTTACAGTTGATGGTACCCTCTGCATCTGGAGCAAAGAAAAATGTTCTACAGGCTTTTTATAAAGTGTCACAAACCTGTCAATTTTTAGTATTTTTTTCACAAGAAGCACAATAAGAGACTGGTTACTGGTATTAATATTGCAGAAAGTTAAACATTTAAAGGCTTGGACCTCAGACTGCTTATTTAAGTGTAGTAATTGTAGAAGATTTGGATCTTTTGTTCCAGACAATTATAGTATGGAGAATAATACCGCAACATGTTTCGACAGCCAACTTCTTGGTATGGAAGAACCAAATAACTTGATCCACTAAGAAGACAAAACTGCTTATTATTGTTGTTCTGCCAAGTAAACGGTTTGAGCGACTTTCAAATTTACCTCAAAATAATTAGAATTTTTGTATTTACAAAATGACAACAAAATAAAAGGCATCTTCCACTCAGCACAATCTACATTTCCTAGTTTATTATTTTTTTCTTTACATTCATTTGAGTGGTAGACTCGTGTGGGGTTATGGTGAGATCATCTGTTTTTAGTCGCCCAATATCTTTGACTACAGCCCCACGTTTGGAGTGTCAGACTGTCTTGTCTTTGTGTGTTTGTGGCAGGTGTGATGGATTCCCGGTCCAGTAGACTGCCGTTCTGTTTGCCCAGCTCCAGACCGTCATATTCGTCCAGCTCCAGTCGGCTCTACGGCACAGACTCGTCCTTAAGCAGCGATCGCTTCTCCAGGACCTCCAGCTACAAGACAGACTCCGAACCACAGGTAAGATTGACACTTTACCAACTTGTTAAACTGTAGTGATTTGTAATTAAGCATTTTTAAGACTTTCATAATGTGTCGGTGGCTCGCAATTTAGTGATTTCAATTTGTACCCCGTGTCACATGACCACTTCCGGTTTTAATTTGGAACAACTTCCCTTAAGTACCGCAACAACATACAGGGATCTGACAGCTGCTCCTCCAGCGTTGTCTACACTGCCGGCTTCTTGCTGAAACAACTTTTGGATTCAATCACGCAACCATCACCCTGATTCTTGCACCTAATCTTCCGCTCAACGGTCCCCCCACCTCCACTGACTGAACTGCACTGCTTTACTGAATGTAACCACTGGATTGCGAGCTAACAACCCCGAACCTGTCAACCACCGCATCATTGCGGTAGGAACAATTGTTTCAACTTGATTCACCACTCTGGAACAAATACATTGGAGCAATAGTACAACACCACAAACCTGAACTTTGGTTTGAATTCTGTTTTTTTTGGTGTATGTGTGCACATGTCTGACTATAATATTTGCATTTATTATTATTATACAACCTTATGATCATATATAACTATATATATATATATATATATATATATATAACAACATTAATACATAATTTTGTCCAAAAAAGCTATTAACTGTGTATGTGTTTTATTCACACTCCTGGGCTCCTTACCGTTCCTTCTTCTGATGCTTACCCTACATGCGGTCAGACCCTTAGCCCCGTAGTGCGTTACAAATTGATAAAATAATTGTTGTGACTTTGAAATTTTTTTTAAAGGTAATTTATTAGAACAAAACATGCACCCCCTTTTTATTTTTTCTCTTACTCTAAACAATCAACGCAAATGGTAATAGTTTCTTAATCAGTGAATCAATGCACTGCACACTACAGAACTCGGCATCTTTTCCCTTTGGTCCAATTCTGGTTCAACCAAGCATGACTCTTTTGGTGCATAAAAATCTATGACCCATATATCTATATATGGGTTATAGCCAAGCCCCTGTGATCCAAGATGGCGCCCTATTCAAATGAATGGCTTGTGCTCAGTAGCGCATGGGACTGCATGGGGACCCGGAGATTAGCAGAACTCTCCTATATTTGGGCATCGTCTGGTCCTCCCGGTTCTACGCAGTGGATGAGCTCTCATGATGCGTTGCACCAAATACGCGTGTGTGGCTCTCGTACACGTGCACAGAGGGGCTCGGCCGTGCTCTGACCAATCTGCGCTTCTCATCAGAGCAACAGTAGAGCGGAGTCAGAGCGGGAAGGAAATGAGCAGAGTTTGTTGCAGTAAAATGTGGATTTAAAGAAAACCAAAGGATTTCAGAAAAAAAAGTTCAGGATGACAAGGGACACTAAAATCCCCACAAAATACGATCTTTCTGAAAGCTGTAGGTTCTCTGGTAGCTGAGGTTGAGCTGGTTTAGTTTGCGTTGATTTCTACGGGACTTTTTTCTGAGTAGCCCATGGGTGCCCTCTGTGCCCATGGGTTGGACAGCTATAAGCTAGTAATACCCTATCCCGTTATTATTATAGATCCATGGTTATAGGCCATATATATTATTATAACCCATAAGCAAGTAAGGTCGTCATTTTTTTAATTGACTCCCATAATCTAAATGATAATAAGCAAAAATAGATAACCACAGATGCAAAGGATGAGCTATAAGTGAACCTTTAATAATAACACTGGCTAACAAAAAAAATTTTTTTTGAAAATAGTCCAGGGTTTTCCCTGGACTATTTTCAGGTCAGGATTTTTTGCTACAGAAATATTTTTTTTAATCAATTTTGCGTAAAAAACTAATTTCTGCGGATCATCACCTGAGAAACCCTTGACGTTTTTTCAGTTTTCCTCAACGTATCCAAAGTCATTCAGTTTTTATTTACTCCATCAAATTTGATAAGCAGAATTCATAATAACATAGACGTACGTAATCCGTAACACTATGGCTGTATCTCAAAAAGTTGACCTGATAGAGCACAATGCATGTGATATTCGGACTCAGAACACCAACATTAGTCTAAATCAGTTGAGAAACCCCTGACCATTTTTTGGCTGTCAACTTGTGTAATAATTCAACATTATTATTTATAAATCTGCCTTTTAAAATTGGCCAGTCAAACTCAAAGCATTGGCCTTGGCTCTAGGGAACATATCAGCCAATCTCTAAATTGAACTGCATGTTTGAACGGTTGTACTTTCAGGTTTTATGTTGTACGTATTTGTTAAAATTGTGCTCATCTTCAAAACAACTATCATCGTTTTGTAGATTTTTCATTATCTTGTTAGCTCTTTTTTTACAGAAATGCATTGTCGCTGTCTTGTTTATCGGTTTGTATTGGGTGTAAATTGTGGTAATGGAGCCCCCTTTAGCTGTCAAAAGAAGCTAGTAGTTGTTGTTTATCTTAGCTCCGTCTGTGTTTTATGGAGTCCCACAGGCTTTGTTGTGTGTCGCTGGAGTACATCTTCCTCGGGGCATGACATGGTGCAGAGTGAACAGTGCCATGAGTGGGGCATGAGCAGTCACTTCCAGCAGCTTTTTATAGGGCAGCCTAGATTCTTGGCACTCGTCGTGTGTATTTCAGGCCAGCTGCTCATCAAAGCTCGTCTCAGTAGATTGTGTTACTGTTGTTTAGTCCCCACTGGGCTCTGGCTCTTTCTGGAAGCTTTCTGCTGCACAGGCACAACAAACTGGATGAATGTGTCCATGTTGCAGAAATGGAAAAGAAAAATACTTTGTAATGGCTAAATGCTGAGCAGGATTTAACCAATGGTTAAGACAAGGATGTTTGATGTAACCATGTGAACAATTCAATGCATCCATTTTATAAGGTATTTACAAGGAATAGCTAAAACTGTTTATTTAACGAAGCTTCATACAATGTAATAATTTCCAATAAAGAAATGGATTTTCATTGTGTATTTCCTCAAGTGGAGGACTGGAGTCAGCCGGGTTTGGTTCACAAGGGAAGGATGGAGTCTTGTACTGACAGTTGGATTGATGCAGCGATGTGGTCGATGTGCTCTGTAGTGGTGAAGAGGGAGCAGCGTCTGCAGTCAGAGCTACAATGATGGCTGGATAGATTGTTTTCATTGTTGTCAAATTATACATATACAATTTACAATTGTACTGAACTCATTCTAAATTGTATACACTATACAAAACTATATGAATTTCAGAATGCATTTTATGTTTTCCCTCAGTGTTCCCGTCTCAGAGATTATGGAGGTTCTGACAGCCGCAGTGCGAGCTGGAGGCTGCCCTCTTCGCTGACGACCTCCACAAGAGCTTATGATCGTCCCTGGGCCGACTCCTCCCTCACGAGCAGAAACAAAGTGGTACAGTGTTTAATCTGCTCCTTGTAATGGTCTGATGATAAACCACCGCTGAGTTTAAAAATGGGGTCTTATTTTCCAGAGTGAACCAGAGGCTAGATTCAGCACGCGGCAGTCTCTGCTCAGCTCTAATGTGGACGATGGAGACTCGAAAAGGGCCAAACTCGCGTCTGCCTACAGCGGCAGAGGGCTGTACTCACAAACTGCCAGCACTTCATTCATGGGCTCAGGCCTCTCCAGCAGCACCAGAGGTATACCACAGTTTGGTTTACCACCAAAATAGACTTGTTAGGATATTGTCTAAACCTTTACAATTACAAGAGACCTACTTCCTCAAAAATCCATTAAAAACAATTGACAAAAAGACATGTAATAATTAGAGATGCACCGATCCAGCTTTTTCACTACCGATACCAGAGCTATGGGTTTCTGTCGATACCGATATTGACCGATACCAGAAATTATCATGCTAAAATGTATTTAATAATTGAACTCTTTGTTCAAGTAACTGCAAAAGCAGTGGATGAACTAAAGCGCTAAACTTTCCAGATAAAAATGGATTCAACATAAATGTGCAATAATGCAACTATAAAGAGCTGCTCAATGTTCACATTAAACATTCCAACACTGTATTATACCTTATACATTTATTGAATATAAATGTACTTATATTAACTGTGTTTGAATAAATAAACACTTACAACAAACAAAACACGCTGCATGAAAATGTAAATAAATAATAGCACCGTAGCTTTAACTGGATTTCAGATATGTATTTGGCGACGGCATGTACCTGGGTTCCAAATGGTCTATGGGGCTGCGAGCCCAAACTGATTAACTCCAACACTTTCGGGTTGTTGCTGAAAAGCTTTTTGTGACGCTGAGTCAGTGTCATCTGTGTCTCGATGTTTTCACGTAATCTCCTTTCGATGCAAAAACTCCCATGCTGTTTCTCGTGGTGCTTAGTCGTGTTGTATTTCGCTAGTTTACCGCCGCGTGAACAACGCTGATTCTTTCCTGCACTCCATGCTGTGTTGTTGTTGTTGTTGTAGAGCGCCACGAGGAAGTGACGTGTACGTGAGATCTGATACATTACTTTTAATTAATTCATTTTATACGTATATGTACATTATGCACAATGTATTTTAAGACATTGTGCGGTACCTGGTATGTATTAAAAAATATATATAATTTTTTTTTAAAAAGAAAAGAAAATGGATCGGCAGCACGGCGCCTCTCTCTACGCAGATATCCGATCCAGTATTTTTTCTGGTATCGGCGCCGATATCGATACCAGTATCGGATCGGTGCATCCCTAGTAATAATACAGATAATAATACATATACATAAGTTTAGTATGTGTAGCAATTTATTGTAGCTAAACTGTAATAACTAATGTCCAACTTGACCAATGTCTTTTACATTAATTGAACTTACTCTTTACAGTTTCATCTGACAAAGAAAATGACTCTTATGATTGGAGGTCGTCTCGTTTTCTCTCTCGTCAATCATCCACCTCGTCCTCCTCGTCTTCTTCTTCATCCTCCAAACTTTACTCCAGGAGGGAGCTGGAAACTAAGACTGAACCCACGTACTCTAGTTTAGGAGACCGGAGGGCCACAGGGCTGTCCTCCTCATTGTGTAAGTCTGATTTTTATGATTTTATTTTTATACACAACAAAAATATGATGCTGTGGAAATCCATTAAGATAAAATATGCTCTTGATTGATAGATGAAAGAGGATTTCTAGAAAATATACCTGAAATATAATATTGTAAACTTTAGCATTTTTGTGTTAAATATTTGGAGCTTGAAAGCTGGAGTCCCTAAATTCAAAAGATGAACTGGATCAAAACGGCTGGATCATTCGTTTCCACATCCTTGTCTTTTATGGCCTCTGTCACATCTTTTTAGATGTTTTCAAATAGAAATGTTAAAAGGAGAGGGCCAGTCTCACTCAGCTGTCAAATTGTTACTCCCAGGGCACTTTCTTACAAGAATGTAAAAGATGAAGAAAGCATGTGGTCAGAACATTATTCTTCAAGACTCTCTGTTAGAACAAAACAAAATATACAGTCGATGGAACTTGGACTACATTTTGTCTTACCTGCTTTATAACATTTAAAACTAATCAAAAGGCTTAATTCATTGATTGTTCTGAATGCGATTGAGCATGTTTCAAACTCTAGTCGACTTCAGAGCATATTTGTAGAAGTGTCTGTCAGAAAAAATATATATATTTGTAAAATTAAAATGTATATTTCTGTATTTTTTTACAGAGTTTAGTTTTAACTTGTATTGGCTTTTCAGATCAAACAGACAGAATGACGTCCACATATGCACAAGGGGCACGACCAAAAGCCTCATCTTACACTTCTACCACTTACACGCCCAGGGAAACTCGCCATGTCCCGGCCTCCTCTTCTTCTTATCGCTCCTCTGCGGAACAGGACCTGAGCAGCCGATTCTCCAGTCGTTTCTCAGGGCTCCAATCCTCCCACAAACCCATGTCACGCCCTGAGCCCACCAAGCATATCTCTGATGTCACGACCACCACGTCTCCGAGGTGGTACAGCTCCTCTCGGTCCGAAAACGCACTGCCCCCAAGACCTATCCCGGAGGCCCCTGAAATCGAGGGCCGCAGCTCGACGCGGAGACTGTTTTCCCGGCTTTTTTCCCGGCGTTCCAGCCAGGACTCGAGCGGGTCTTCTAGCGTTCGATCGGTGGAAGAAGACAGTCCTTCCACGGAGTCTGTGGACAGCGATGAAACTCCGGTGAACGTCGATCCGCTGCTGACAGAGTCCGTAACACGCAGGCAACACCGGGTCATGTACAACCCACTATGTGAAGGCAACAGCCACCGATTGGCTTCAAGGAGAGAGCCGGCCGTCAGCGATAACCACAGTAGCAATGCAAACCAAGCAGATGCGGGAGGACCATCCTGGCTTTCTTCATCCATTAGAAGTCGCTGTCCTCCTCTGCTCGCACGCCTCCGGCGATACACCAGAGATGAGAATAACTGCCCCGCGACAACCCCAGAGTATACATACAGCCGCCCCCCATATTTGAGAAGGGCAGATGACCAGGAAGATGATGATGATGATGAGGACGAGGAGGAGGAGGCTCATGATGAGGAAAAAGAGGAGAAAGCAGGAGCAGTGGGCGTGGACGGGTTGGAAGCAGATTGTTCCAATGATGCCGAAGAAGAGGAGGAAGAAGAGGATGATGAGGATGTGGTGCTACCAGATTTAGAAGAGGTTTCCCATGTGACCCATAGACTGGGACTATACCAGAACTTTTCAATGGCACCGCTGGGAGCAGAGGAGCAGCTGGAGGACCAACGGGAGAAGCCCATATCCCCCAAAGATCAAGAGAAGCTGCGCAAGATCAAGGAGAGGTAATCTTTAGTTATATACATTGTTGACAATGACTCTGCAACTGCCTTATCATAAACAAGAAATCTCAACCCACATTACCAATAAAAATCAAACTATTTAAACTTTATAACCTTTATGGTGGAGGTGTTAAAGAAATGTAGAATATTTTGAGAATAGACTGGCATGAGTTTTCACCTGTATGTTTGAATCTATACTGTGGAAAAATCCTCAAGAAGAAAGTAACATAATTTCCTTTGAGGCAAACATGGGACCAGAACAGTTGTGTTGTCCCAAATTTGAAAATGTGCAACAAAGCTTCAATAAGTAATGCTCACACAATAATAAAAAGTCAATAGTTTTAACTACAACCCGGCAAACCGTGTAAGGGGGGGGGGGGGGAATGTGATCTTATATTTTGGAAGTTTTCTACTATCTGTACAATTTATAATCTTTGACATAATGGCATCAAATGAAACTTATCTCCATGGGGAATGTTTATATCTACCTAGGGCGACAGTAGCTCAGTTGGTAGAGCATTGGCCTTTGGGCCTGAAGGTCGTGGGTTCGAGCCCACCGTAAGACCTACTTTACTACTCCCACTGATGACTGCTGTCGTTGTGTCCTTGGGCAAGACACTTAACCCTACTTTGCCCAAAGCCCCAACTGAAAGATCTCAGCTCCTGTGGACTCACCACCTGCAGGAGGATCAGTGAGGGGCTGGTGCTCTGTGTACTGGGTGCAGCTCTGACTGCCACCCCCCCGACCCAGAAATGGATTAAGGGGAAGAAAATGGATGGATGGATGGAAGTAATCTACAGTGCCTTGCGAAAGTATTCGGCCCCCTTGAACCTTTCAACATTTCGCCACATTTCAGGCTTCAAACATAAAGATATACAAATAAAATTTTTTGTCAAGAATCAACAACAAGTGGGACACAATCGTGAAGTGGAACAAAATTTAAACTTTTTTAACAAATAAAAAACTGAAAAGTGGGGCGTGCAATATTATTCGGCCCCTTGCGCTAATACTTTGTAGCGCCACCTTTTGCTGCAATTACAGCTGCAAGTCGCTTGGGGTATGTCTCTATCAGTTTTGCATATCGAGAGACTGGAATTCTTTCCCATTCTTCCTTGCAAAACAGCTGGAGCTCAGTGAGGTTGGATGGAGAGCGTTTGTAAACAGCAGTCTTCAGCTCTTTCCACAGATTCTCGGTTGGATTCAGGTCTGGACTTTGACTTGACCATTCTAACACCTGGATACGTCTATTTGTGAACCATTCCATTGTAGATTTGGCTTTACGTTTTGGATCATTGTCCTGTTGGAAGATAAATCTCTGTCCCAGTCTCAGGTCTTTTGCCGACTCCAACAGGTTTTCTTCCAGAATGGTCCTGTATTTGGCTCCATCCATCTTCCCATCAATTTTAGATTCAGATTCAGATTCAGTTTATTTGCCATTTGCAGTAAAACCACATTGGAATACATTAGCAAAAGTCTCCAGTGTGCACAGACATAAAACAACATTAAAAGACAAAAATAAAACAAATAAGACAGTAAACAAATGTCACTGTGAAATCGATCGACTAAAACAGTTTCAAAACAAGTGCAAATCATTAAAGTGCTCTGTTCACACTGATAACAGCTTGTGGATAAAAACTGTTAGCGTAACGAGATGTCCTGCATCTCAGAGAGCGATATCTTCTGCCAGAGGGAAGAAGCTGGAACATGGCTTTCCCAGGGTGGCCAGAAGAGTCATTGACAATCCTAAGAGCTTTGTTTAAAAGTCTGGATTTATAAAGAACCTCCAGAACAGGAAGCTCACAGCCCACGGTCCTCTTTGCAGAGCGGAGCACCTTGTGTAAAGCTCTCTTTTCTTTGTCTGTGATGTTTCCAAACCACACAGACACAGAACCAACAAGTAAACTCTCAATGGTGCAGCGATAAAAGTTAAGCAGAATCTTAGAGTTAGTGGTAAATTCTCTAAGTTTCCGCAAAAAGTAGAGACGCTGACGAGCTTTCTTAACGACTCGGTCAGTGTTTTTAACCCATTTCAGGTCGTTAGACAGAGTTAAACCCAGAAACTTGCACTCCTCTACGATCTGCACCTGGGAGTTGTCGATTACGACAGGCAAATGAGAACTATTGCGACTGAAGTCGTAGACCAGTTCACATGTTTTGGATGCGTTCAACTGGAGGTTGTTAGTTTGACTCCACTGAACCACATTTTGTATCTCTGCTCTATAAGAGGATTCATCATTGTCACTGATGAGACCGATGATGGTGGTGTCATCAGCATATTTGATGATCAAGTTGGAGTCAGAGGAGGACACACAATCGTGAGTGTACAAAGTAAAGAGCAGAGGACTCAAAATACATCCCTGAGGAGAACCAGTGCTCACAGAAACAACATCAGAAAAACACTTGATTTTCACTCTCTGAGATCTGTCAGTTAAAAAGCTAAAAATCCATTTACACATGGCAACACTTAAACCGAGAGACATGAGCTTTTCAATCAGTTTACCTGGGACAAGGCAGTTAAAAGCAGAGCTATAATCAATGAAAAGCATTCTGGCCACAGATTTACTAGTGTCCAAGTGACTAGACAGAGTTCAGAGCAAAGGAGATGGCATCCTCCACACTCCTGTTCTGTCTGTAAGCAAACTGGAGCGGGTCAACACTCACAGGGATCTGGCTCTTAATGAAGTCCAGCACAAGCCGCTCAAAAGTTTTCATAAGAACAGACGTGAGGGCCACAGGACGATAGTCATTCAGGCATGTCACAGGAGTTTTCTTAGGAACTGGAATGATGGTCGACTCTTTAAAGCAGTTCGGCACAGTACAGTTCCTTAGCGACAGGTTGAAAATGTCTGTTAGCACAGGGGCAAGTTGCTCAGAGCACAGTTTCAGGACACGAGGAGGGATGCCGTCCGGGCCTGGGGCTTTCCGGACTGTGGTCCTGGACAAGACACGCCTGACTTCCTCCTGAGTCACGGTGAAGGTACCTTGATTGAAACACTCAGGGAATACAGTAGGACAGGCATCAGCGGATTCAAAGCGACAGTAGAACGTGTTCAGCTCGTTTGGCAGAGCTTGGCCGACAGATGCAATTTTCCCAGCGCTAGGTTTCCACGATGTGATGGCTTTAATACCGTTCCACATGCGCCGAGGGTCATCTTCCTCAAAATAACTCTTTAACCTGTCCCCGTAACTGCGCTTTGCAGATTTAATAGAACGTTTCAATGAGTAACAGGATAGCTTATAAGCAACTGTATCATTTGATTGAAACGCCAACGCACGCTCATGAAGTTTCAGTTTCACTTCTGCGTTCATCCAAGGGTTTTGACTAAAATGTTCTTTAATGACCTTCTGTGGGACACAGCCGTCAATACAGAAGCGTATGTATCCTGACACAGCGTCACAGAATTCATTGACGTCCTCTGACTGAAACACAGACCAGTCCGTAGCATCAAAACAACCTTGTAGCTTCATGCTAGCCTCCTCAGACCAACACTGCACAGTGCGAGAGGTTTGTTTATGTTCCCTGCTCCTCTGAGTATACGAAGGAAGAAGGAGAACAGAGGAGTGGTCAGACTTTCCAAAAGGAGGTCTGAGACTGGACCTGTAAGCTCCCTACACGTTACTGTAGCAGTGATCCAGAACATGTGCTCCTCTTGTAGCTTGAGTCACATGTTGGTAAAAGTTCGGGAGTAAAGTCTTTAAATTACATTTATTGAAATCCCCAGCAACAATGATGACTGCGTTAGGATGAGCAGACTCATGTTTGTGAAGGATCTCGCTCAGATCCTGTAGGGCTACTTTGTAATCCGCACGTGGGTGAATGTAAACAGCACATAAAAATATCACTGAAAACTCACGGGGAATATAAAAAGGGCGGCAGCTCAAGACCAGGCATTCCAGATTGGCAGTACATGTTTGGTTCACGATTCGAGTGTCCGTGCACCAGCGCTGATTAATTAAAAAGCACACACTTCCGCCTCTGGCCTTGCCCGTGGTCTCCTTCACTCTGTCCGAGCGGTGAGCGGTGAATCCCGGGGGCTGAACAGCAGAGTCCGGGACGTTCGAGTGGAGCCACGTCTCGCTGAGGCAGAACACAGCGCAGTCCCGGGCCTCGCGCTGGCTCTGGATCCGACACAGGAGCTCGTCCGTCTTGTTGGGCAGAGACTGGACGTTGGCCAGGTAGATGGAGGGCAAAGGGGTCCTGGAGGAGCGGCTACGAACGAGCAGACCGCCTCGCCTTCCCCGGTGTCTGCGCCTCCTTCGCCGACTCGAGGTGCCCAGCTCCACACCGCGGAGAGAACGCCGGAGACGCCCAGTCCCCTCGCTCTGTTGGCGGCCACCGCCGCGGCCCGCCTGCCGTGCTCCACCAGCCTCTCGAGTGGGACACTCGAGGAAGTTTGTGCACCTCAGTTCAGGTAAAACGAGTGACCCGTCACACGCGTGATCCCGAATGTACAGAAGTGTTTGCCGATCATACTTCACAGTGGCAAGTGAATCCCAGACGAAAAACAACAAAACACAGATTGTGCGCACCAGAGCGTTCACTGAGGCGCCCTGACACGGCGCCATCTTCTTGAGATCTGTGTGTGTGTCTGTATCTGTGTGTGTGTCTGTGTGTGTATCTGTGTGTGTGTCTGTGTGTGTATCTGTGTGTGTGTCTGTATCTGTGTGTGTGCCTGTGTGTGTATCTGTGTGTGTATCTGTGTGTGTGCCTGTGTGTGTATCTGTGTGTGTATCTGTGTGTGTATCTGTGTGTGTATCTGTGTGTGTGTCTGTGTGTGTATCTGTGTGTGTGCCTGTGTGTGTATCTGTGTGTGTCTGTGTGTTTATCTGTGTGTGTGTCTGTGTGTGTATCTGTGTGTGTATCTGTGTGTGTGTCTGTGTGTGTATCTGTGTGTGTATCTGTGTGTGTATCTGTGTGTGTGCCTGTGTGTGTATCTGTGTGTGTATCTGTGTGTGTGCCTGTGTGTGTATCTGTGTGTCTGTGTGTGTAACTGTGTGTCTG